TCACATTTGCTACTTATCTTATACTTGACTCCATCGGATCTATTCCATCAATCGTTAAAACCTTTGCTATACTTCCCTCTTACACATTTATTCAAGGCACCATGTTTTGGGCTATTTTTGTATTGGGTCATGATTGTGGCCACGGTAGTTTTAGTCGTTATCCTTGGCTCAATGATATCGTTGGAACGTTTCTTCATACTTTGATCCTTGTTCCCTATACTAATTGGAAAATAAGTCATCGTCACCATCACAAAAACACTGGCAATATTGATAAAGATGAAGTATTCTTTCCTATGAGAGAAACAGAAGTTCTTATAATTAATGGTATTAAAAATACAAAACTCATACCTTATTTTGGATTGGGTTTCGGTTGGATCTTTTACTTGATGTTCGGCTATGGAACAAGGGCGACATCTCATATAAATCCATTCGCCCCCCTTTTTGCTAAAAATCGCGTTGGTGCTATCATTTCAATCATTTGTGTGTTTCTAGCACTGCTTGGTCTCGGTAAAATCACCATTCATTTCGGTATTTTGGCCGTAATAAAATACTATTTCCTTCCATGGATAATTTTTGGTACTTGGTTAGTGATCACTACTTTTCTTCATCATCATGGCGCCGAAGAAAACTTCAAGCTTCCGTGGTTTTCCGACGATCAATGGAACTATGTCGTTGGTAACCTTTCTTCTGTGGATCGTGACTATGGTATCTTTCATGACATCACTCATTCTATTGGTACACATCAAATTCATCACTTGTTCCCGGCAATTCCACATTATTATCTTGTGGAAGCTACTACTTCATTCCAAAAACGTTATCCTCAATTCAAGCGTGAATCTAATGAACCAATCGTCAAAGCTTTTATTGATACCTTTACAATGTGGAAAAAACAATTTATCATCTCTGATAATACAAAAGTTTTCGTTTATAAAAATAAGAAAGAAGGAAAGAAACAGAAGTAATTTCTGTTCAAAGTTAGATTCTTCTGTTCTACGTTTATTTAGAAAAAAAATGGTACTGAAATTAGTATATTAGAATTACTGTAATAATTCATTAAATAAGAAATTAATATTGTATTTATGTTTTGTTAAATTATAAATGAAATATGAATGCAAAAATATTAATATTTTTTGGTAATATTGAAATTATTTCGTTGTAGATTTATTTTGTTTTTTTCTTGACTTTGATAATGCATATTTGTAATAAACTCAAATTAAAATCTATATTTATGTTACATATAATTATTAATCGATT